AGAGTTGTGATTCATAGCTCTGTATCCAAAAAATTGAAAACGTGTTCACATTACAACTTGAATATGAATGTACATAGCCTAATAGTTAAAGAGAAGAAACAACCAAATGTCCAAACGAGGTTATTTTTATGCTTAACATGTTTTAATGCCCTTAGTTCCCTATTTAGAATTCAGAATCTAGAATTAGCCACTTTTAATGAAATACTTAAACTTTCTTTTATTGCCTAAATACCAGTTAATGACTTTATCCTACTTTCCTCTATTTCCCTTCTTATTTTTAGTTGTTACTTTTACTTTTTAGAGCATATAACATAACAGCATTATTATATTATTACATTATCTTTCTACCTGTCCCTATCTTAGTTGTAATCTTAGATTTTCAATTAAGTATATCAAGTACTAAATTTCTAAAGTTTCCCTAGTCTTTTGTTCAGATTGTTTATTTTCTAACAGATTCCTCAAAAAAAAAAACTCATAGAATTTTTTGAGCTCTTGTTATTTAAATTTTTTTCTGTGGTTTTGGTTCTTACAGAATTGTGGCTGGATCTTGTAATTGTGGCTTTTTCAGTGATCCACCCACTCTTTCTGGCAGCAAACCCTTCATTGTTGGTGAATCCGTTTTGGGATTCTTTTTGTATGTTTGCTTTCTGCTTATCAATCTTTTTTTTTGTGGAGTTTTTGTTTTTAGCTTTATGTTTGCAGTACATGCAGTTTACAGTCATCTTGGGGAGTGGGTACGTGAGCTTGTTTCTTTTTTAATCCCCTTCCCTTTTCCTTTCACCTCCCTCACTCCTCTAAATCCCCCTTCCCCATTTTCATTCTTGTTGATAGTATTAGTCTTAACTCATGTTTATGACATGTAGTGTTCATATTCTTGAGGTTATTAGGATTCTTCTGTACATAGCATAACTTTATTCTACTTATCTCCCTTCCCCTTATATGTTACCATATAATTATGGAAATGTCCCTGGACCTTTTCTGGCTATCTCTTAACCTCACCTAATATTACACTTAAATTATCATGACTTTATATTTTACTTAGATAACTAGTAGCCTGACTTACTCATAAATCTTTATCCCCAAAATTTTCCTTTTCTTTGTAAATAAATTTTAAAATCAGCCTATCAAATTTTACTTTAGGGCTGGGGATTTAGCTCAGTGGTTCCCCTGCCTGCCTCACAAGCACAAAGTCCCAAGTTTGATCCCGGGTACCAAAAAAACAAAACAAATTTTACTTTAAAATTATGTTGGGTGCTATTTTTGACTACTCTTAGAAATTATTTATAACCTGGGAATTTGTTTTTCAAATGTGTTCTCTTTGTTGTTCTCCAGTTAGTTGTATAGAAAAACTGGGTCTGCTTCTGTGAATGGGCCTAAGTTATAGAATTATAGAACAGTGTTTAGAGGAACAGATTCAATAGCCTAAGGATGATATCACCCTACAGAAATTAAGTAATCCTAAATTGGATACTGGAATGATGTTTGTGCTTTGAACATGTGTTTCTCTTCAAGGGAAAACTTGTTTTGAAAGAAAGTCCTTCTCCATGTTATTTTCAGGATAAAATTAAAAGGATGTTTTTCAGTAAAGCCAGCCAAAACTTGGAGGGTCGATGAAAGGAGGAGAGTTATTTGTGTTTATTTTTAAACTAAACATGGCATGAATACTCAGTAGTTAGCTTAGATCCATCATGGACAGAAGTTCATAACCTTCACATATACTACCAGTAAATAGTTTAGCTCATGTCTGAAATAGGTGTGAGTTCTGATTTTTTAAATTATAGGCACCACCTTTGATAAAGAAAAGGTTAAATATCCTTAATACTATTAAGGACTTATAACCAATATAATTGCAGCATTAATATACCTAGAATTTACTTTCTTGAGTACTTGAATTTATTTTGTACACTTTAATAACCAAAGTCTCCCTCCCCAAATTGAGCAGGTCTTTGATCAAATACCAACTGATTATTGTTCCCTGTTCCCTATACTTTTCTTCCATGGTATTATTTAACTGACATAAGTTTATATTGTTGTCAGCCTCCTTTACCTAAGGTACAACCTTTGGAAGTGCATGAAATTTGTTTTCTTCTCTGCCATATCCCATCTTTGAACAGTATAACTTACATAGTTAGGTATTTTCTTTTTTTTTTTTTTGGTACCGGGGATCGAACTTGGGACCTTGCGCTTGCGAGGCAGGCTGCTGGTAACAATTTCAGGGCTGGTATGGTCCC